TGGCGTGAGTTGAGAGGTTCAAGCTTCCCCAGATGAATGCTGACCAGGGATGAAGGAACGGGATGGGATGTGCCCTAATAGCCTCCAAGGGATTTGTGATGGGAGGTCTGTGAGTGGAAAGATGGGCAGTTAGATGGATGGGTCTTTATCAGGAAAACTGGGGATAGAGGCAAAGATCAGCATAAACTCAGCCAAACCTTTAACCAGAACTAAGTGAGAAAGAATAATTTATTTTGCAAGTGTTAATGCTCACTCATATGTTACGAATGTAGCAGTTTTGTTGCATTTTTATTTTTTAAAATTAGTAATACAGACAACATAAAGTATCCTATATTTGTAAATAAATGCATGGAAATGGTACTATATAAATTCTACTAGGTGTAACTTTATTCAGAAAATACCCATTTAGGACTCTAGGTGGTGCTACTAATCTGAAAATCTTAGCACATAAACCAGTAAAGAAAATGTGTGTCCAGATGATGTCATTCTGAGAATATGATTAGAAAAATCTATTTTAAAATAATAAAGACATTCAATTAGCATTTTAATGCGATGTTAAAAGTAAACTCAGGAGAAATAATACCAAGTAGTATTTTTGGAAAGCTAATAAAACCTAAGAACCAAAAACTGCTGAAGTAGAACAGCATTTTATTTTTTTTTAATCTTTATTAACTTTATTGGTACATTTTAGGTATACAGTACAGCTACATTCATCATTGGGATCTTGTACCTTTACATGACAGGTCTTGGTTCTTATTTTTCCCCATTCCCAGCCCTCTCTCTCCCTCCACACTTTCTGTTAATAAAGACATTGTTTCCATGTTTTCCTTTTTCATATATTTTTTCTTTTCCCTTTTTACCTTCCCCTTACACTTCCCACTTCCTCTGCTCTTTTAGACCATTTCTTCCTATTACACAATATCAATTATACATTTTGATCCTTATTTACACTTTTAGTTTTTTACAAGAGAGAAATTGTTCTGTATTTACACATGTGACCTATTAATTTCACTAAGATTATGTCCTCAACGTGCATCCACTTAGCTATAAACATCTCTAGTTTCCAATTCTTTATGGCTAAGTAGTATTCCATTTTATAAAAGAATCCACATCTTCTTTATCCAGTCTCCAGTTGATGGGCAATTGGGCTGTTTCCCAGTTTTAACTATTACAAACTGTGCCACTATAAACATGGGTGTGTATATATCACTGTGGTATGATTCTTGTAATTCTTTTGGGAAGATAACCAGCAAGAGTATAGCTGGGTCAAATGGGACCTCTAATTCTAGTTTTTTGAGGTATCTACATATTGACTAGTATTTCAACCCAGAATTTATAGGAATATTTAGAAATGGTATTATAGTTGCAGAATATTTAGATTTCATGCATAATACACCACTTATTAAGAGTTTATGAACCAGGTTACTGTGACCCCTAGAGAGTTTCCTGATTAAAGACTTACCCCCTACCAGAGTATCACTTTTGTACAAATGTTAACCTAAGTGCACCCAGTTCATCCTCATTGTTGTTCATTCTATGGGTCTGGGCAAACTTAGAATGCCATTGTGCTGTCTGTCACATAGAGTAATTTCATCACCCCAAGACTGAAATAAATAATTACTTCTCAACTTGTACAATAATAGCAACAACAATGACATTATGAGACAGGAAGATTACATCATTCTTTCTCAGAAGTATGCTTGCAAAAATCCCAAACAAAATATTAGCATACAAAACTCAGTGATATATAAGTATACCATAAGTTTCCATCCAGTTTGAATTATTCCAGAAACACAAGGTTCTTTTAACATTTAAGTATAAATCAATTAAATTTACATTAATGATAAAGTAAACAGAAAAATAACATGATTATTTCAATAAACACAAAACAGTGTTTGATTAAATTCAAGTTCCCTGTATTATAAAATTATAACTAGCAAAAACCAGAAAAATTATTTAATTTGATAAAATGATAGCAAATATCTTACTTAATAGTGAAATAACTGAAAAACTTTCCCTTAAATTGGGGGCAAAAGAATGGCTACTATTAACATTGTATTCAACTGAATAATAAATGAAAAAAGTCAAACAGAACAAAACAAAAATATAAGCAAATAAAAAGGAAGTAATAACACTTTCCCTACAAATTATACATTGAAATAGATATAAACTAAAAATTCAAAAGATATTCAAACAGAAAAAATTAAAATTAATAAATTAAGCAAAGAAGTTTTCTGGATACTATTAAATGTAAAAAACTCAATTTCATTTCTATATGAAAATAACAAAAATAACCTTAAAATTAGGAATAATATAATTTACAATAAGATTAAATCTAGATAAACGTATACAATACTCCTACTCAAATATCTAAAACACTAGGAGAAAATAACAAAAATCTAAATAAATAGAAGTATGTACCAAATCCATGGATTAAAGCTTCAACAATTTAAGAAGTCACTTGTCCTCTAATTATCTGTAGAGTCAATGCAACTGCAGTGCGGTTCTAGAAAATTCACTTTCAGAAATTGATCAGCGCATATTAAAATTTATAAGAAAATGCAGTGCACTAAAAGTACCCAAGCCAACTGGGAGAAAGGAAAATAAATATGGACTAATATTATTTGATATCAAGACATTCTATAATTAAGTCAGTGTGATATGGTACAAAGAAGCAAAGTAAATGAAGTATCTAGGAATCAATCTAACAAAAGAAGCAAAAGATCTCTACACTGAAAACTACAGAACTCTGAAAAAAGAAATTGAAGAGGATATAAAAAAATGGAAAGATATCCCCTGCTCCTGGGTAGGAAGAATCAACATAGTGAAAATGGCCATACTACCAAAACTGCTATATACTTTCAATGCAATGCCAATTGAAATTCCAACCCTATATTTCACAAAACTAGAAAAAATAGTCCAAAAATTCATTTGGAACCATAAGACACCTAGAATAGCAAAAGCCATCTTAGGTAACAGACACATGGCACCGGGTATAACAATTCCCAATTTGAAACTATACTACAAAGCCACTGTGATAAAAACAGCATGGTACTGGCAAAGAAATAGGCCTGAGGATCAGTGGAATAGACTGGAAGACACAAAAACAACTCCAGATGTACTCAGCTACCTCATCTTTGACAAAGGAGCTGACCATCCTCAGTGGAGGAAAGATAGCCTCTTTAATAAATGGTGTTGGAAAAACTGGATGTCAACCTGCCACAGATTAAAATTAGACCCTTATCTTTCACCATGCACTAAATTAAAATCCAAATGGATTAAAGATCTAAATATTAAAACAGAAACATTAAACTTGCTGGAAGGCAAGTTAGGCAGAACTCTGGAAGACATTAGTATAGGAAAAGACTTTATGAACAAATCCTCAGTAGCACGGGAACTAGCAGATAGAATCAACAACTGGGATCTCATCTTATTAAAAAGCTTCTGTGCTTCAAAAGAAACCATCAGCAGAACTAAGAGACACCCTACAATGTGCGAAAAATTTTTTACCAGCTGCTCCTCAGACAAAGGACTATTATCAAAGATATATAAAGAACTCAAAACAATCAGCCCCCCAATATAAAGACCCAATTCAAAAATGGGCATCTGAAATGAACAGACATTTCTCAGACAAAGAAGTAAAAGCAGCAAGTAAATATATGAAAAAATATTCCACATCACTGATCATTTGAGAGATGCAGATGAAAACAACACTGAGATTTCACCTCACCCCACAAAGAATGACTGCTATCAAGAAATCACACAGTAACAAATGTTGGCAGGGTTGTGGGGAGAAAGGAACCCTTCTCCATTGTTGGTGGGAGTGCAGACTAGTGCAACCACTATGGAAATCAATATGGAGATACCTCAAAGAGCTTGGACTGGAGGTGCCATTTGACCCAGCCATCCCTCTGCTGGGTATCTTTCCAAGAGAACTAAAAGAATCATATCACAGAGAAGTATGTGCACCCATGTTTATAGCGGCACAGTTTGTAATAGCTAAATCTTGGAAACAGCCCATTTGCCCATCCGTTGGAAACTGGATAAAGAAGATGTGGTTTTTCTATAAAATGGAATATTACTCAGCCATAAAGAATGAGAAAATAGATTCATTCATAGGAAAATGGATACATATTGAAGATATACTCCTAAGTGAAATAAATAAGTCACACATGTGTAAATACCGAATAGTTTCCCTGGTGTGAATAATCTGCAATAATATATAACATCCTAATAAGATTACTGACATTTAGAAATGGGAAGAAAGGAGCTAAAGGTGTAGGGAAGGTAGGATGTGTAGGGGAAGGGTAATAAGGGAAAAGAAAAACATGTAAGATAATGAAAAGATGAAAATAAAGTGTTTGTAGATGGGGAGGGGAGGAAGGGGTGAAGGGAGGGCAGGGGTAAGGGGAAAAAATGAGAATCAAGACTTGTCATGTAGAGGTACAAGATCCCAACAATGAATGTAACTGTACTGTATCCCTAAAATGTACCAATAAACTCAATTAAAGCTGAAAAAAAAAAGAAGCAAAGTATATCAAAGAAACATCAAGAAGTTCAGAAACAAACCTGCATTTGATTTGTATTTTGTTTATAATGAAAATTGCATTGCAATAAAGTGGATAAAGAATTGTGTAGCTATTTTTTAGGAATATATAGGTCAATGAGAAAGAGCCACCTGAAAAAAATGCATCTTTACTTCTGCTTCGCAATATAGACAAAATCAGTTTTATGTGAATTGTTGATCTAAGTACAAATGCTGTACATTGAAGTTTGTAGAAGAAAATGTGGGAGAATATCCACTTGAAAAGTAAGGGGTTCTTAGACCTCACGTAAGTACACATAAAACACCAACTTTAAAAACAAAGCTTGATAACTTTTAAATTAAAAATTTAAATACTGTTCTATTTCCAGTAATAGTAAAGTATTTTGTATCAAACCCTATTAGAGTTAAGAATTTTAAAATTTGAAAAAATATAAAAACCAACTATATGAAGGCCATGGAGAGTGAACAAAAACAAGTAGAAACAGGAGGAAAGTCAATACCTCGAAAGACATTGAGTGAAATTATGTACTATGACTTTCTTTTAAAGTTTACTGGTACATTTTAGGTATACAGTACAGTAACATTCATCACTGGGATCTTGCACCTTTACATGACAGATCTCGGTTCTCATTTTTTCCCCGTTCCCAGAAGATAATGATCAGCACAAGAGGCTTTGGCAAGGAGAAGTCAAACAAAAAACTACAGTCCTATTAGGAGTCAGAGGATCAAGTCTGGAGTTACAGCATGGCTGAAAAATGAGGGCCATAATACAAAATGCTGTACTGTTCACTTTTAAGTAGATTATGAAAAGGGAGTATGCTTTTTATTCCTAGAGGTAGTCATGTAAAGTAATACAGAAAGATCAAGACATTCCTTAAAAAATTAGTTTACATGTTAATTTTTATGTAAAATAATAAAATTAAAAATATGAAAGTAGGTAAAAGAGAAATGTATGTAAACTTTTAAATTTTTCTATTTAAAAAAGGCAAGGCAGAAAAACAATAGAGAGCTTCTTTCCCAAAATGTATTCTATTTTACAGGGTTAAGATCGCAGAATATGCAGAAAATTAGAGAATTACCAAGATTAATTTTATTTGAGCTTTGGAAAAGTGGAACAAGAGTTTTTCATTCAAAAATAAAAGTTTTATATTTAGTACCTTTTTGGAGACAAATAGAAATAAAAATTGATCATGATCACAGTTATGTGAATAATGATGTATTTTATGTGTTAGCATTTCATATACTATAATTATGTGTGCTCGGTTCTACTTTTTTAATTCTGAAATTAAAAAATTTAAAAGACAAGATTTTGGTATTCATAAAATTGCAAAAATTAAATATTATATTTTCAGATCCTAATGACAGTTCCAATAGTAAAATGGTTTACTTTTGTGTTTAAAGCAAGGAGAAGACCCTGTATGGAATGTGCAGCTTATGGCAGGGGAGAGCCACAAACTGGGTGTGGAATTTATCTCCCTGATTATTTGAGAGCAAGTTTTCTATGTTAAATAAATATTCTATATCTTTTTAAAATTAACTTTATTGGTACATGTTAGGTACACATAATGATCACATTCATTATTGGAATTTGTACCTGTACAGGACATGTCTTGGTTCTTATTTTTTGCCATTCCCCTTCCTTTCCTTCAACCCCATCCTCTTCCTATTTACATAAATTTTCTTTCTGATTTTTAAAATTTTTTTTGTTCCCTTCTTTCCTTTTTCCCAATGCTTTCCCTTCCCCTTTGAATAGTTTCTTCCTATTTCACAATGTCTATTATACATTTTGGTCTGCATTTACACTTTCAGTTTCTCATACCAGAGAAGCAATTTGGTATTCACACATGTGTGTTGCATTTATTTCCCTTACAAGTATGAAATCACCATGGATCCATTTAGCTATAAATGTATCTAGCTTATTCTTTATGGCTGAGTAGTACTCCCTTTTATATTTAAAAATCTTCTTTATCCAGTAACCAGTTGATGGGCATTGGGTTGTTTGTAAGATTTATCTAGTATATACCATACCACTATAAATATGGGTGCACATATATCACTGTGGTATGATGCTTTTAATTCTTTTGGGAAGATATTTAGCAGGGGAATGTGGTTATTAAGTCCTGGAGAAAGTTTTAAAAGTAAAAAAAGAAAATTAAAAATTAGTAAAGAATTGGAATTTAATGAAACTGTAACTATTGGGAAAGAATAGAAATGTATAATTGAGTTGAAACATTAAGCAAACAAGACTTTTAAAAATAATTCACTAATAAGAATGCTACCATTTTTGTTCTCTAATGTAATTAAAATCAAATTTTCTAATATCAAAATGTTTTCTTAGAAATAAAAATATCTGAAAGCCACTTCAGATTTTTTTAAGAAAAATGTTTTTCACAATATAGATCCTGAATTAGCAGCTGATGAACTGCAGGTGTATTTCAAATTTCTTAGATTCACAAATGGACTCATTTCTTTTTTCTCATTGAGTTTATTGGTCCATTTTAGACATACAGTACAGTTACATTCATTATTGGGATCTTGTACCTTAACATGACAGGTCTTGGTTCTCATTTCTTCCCCATATCTCTGTCTTCTTCCCCATACCCCCTGCTCCTTTCCCTATTTACTAAAACTTTATATCCATTTTTTCATTTTCTCATATTTTTTCTTTTCCATTATTTCCTTTCCCCTACTCTTCCCACTTCCCATACACCTTTAGCCCTTTTCTTCCTATTATGCATTGTCAATTATACCATTAAGAGCTTATTTTTATAGGTTCTTTCCTAGAGTCCTATGAAAAAGTGAAAATGGAAACCATTCAATTCATTCAATTATTATGTTTCTCTGCTTTTTATTTACAGCTCTCGTTCTAATGACTGAACACCATATTTAGGAGAAAAAGTGTTATTTTTATAAAATTCAGAAAATTTTGAACCAGAAAATACTCATTATATGATAGAATTTAGATGTGTCTAATTCAAATAGTTTATAAATTAAACTTTAATAAACGAAAACTACATTTTCATATGCTTTGAAGCTTAACAGTAAAGCAATACCAGAATGTGGTTATAAGGAAGTCTAACCTAGAGAGCGATACCTGGCATAGACTCTGAGAATAGAATTATATAGAGACTGATGTTTCAATATTGTGAACATGCAATAATAACTATAATTTTATATAAGTATCATTATTGTGAATTCCGTAAGGCCAATTGCTAGTTATGCTAGAGTAGCAATGAACTCTTACGTGAAGTAAATTCAATCCAAAAGTGAAGTACTTACAGTTTATATAACTTTATGGGCTTCTTTTAGTTTATTGGTGATTAAATTTTAATAATTCTCTATGCTTAAAAAATTATTTGTCCTAGAATATAAATTTCTTCCTCCTAAAATCTGTGACCACATAGTAAATAAGTGGGAAGTTAATTTGTTTCATAAATGAATCTTTGATACTTAAAAGAGTAAATTCAGCTATTATTAAAAATAATTTCTAGAATTTATGTATCCCACTTACCAAAAGAAAAGTTAGTTACAAATGAATGTGATATCTTAGATATTAAAGAATTTCCTTAGTTGTTTTTGACAAGAAGATGGGAAAATGCTGTAGCAGAGATATAACCAAAGATATATATTCTTGAGAACTTTCCAGAGCATTCAAAAGTAGCTTTAAGCAAAAAACCTCATATAAGCTGTAAAGTAGTGATTATTTGTATAGAAATTATCTTATCATTTAGAATCACTATTTAGAGTATGGGTATTTGAGTTTCTCAGACTAATATTCACATCACTGACTAAGCCAGCAGAATAACTGACTAATCCAAAACAAATTTGAGAACTTATTTCACAAGGCTCTTTTAGCAGTCATTATTAGGAGAAATGATTTCCCTTATTAGTAGGGTGATAGCTCCTGTGTAAAAAACTTTATGACTTTTGTTGAAAGGATGAGATTGGGCAACAGAATTGCAACATGAAAGCATACATGTAATGCACTGGAAATAGGGAGTTTCTTGGAAGAACTTTGACAAATGATTTTGTTTCCAGGAAACACCAATTAGTAAGTCATCAAAAGAGACAGGTATAAGGAAGAGGTGAGATTAACAAGAGAGAACATACAAAGAGGAAATAAAACCAAGGTGAAATTGCACAAACCAAGAGGAAATAAAACCAAGGTGAAATCTTAGAAAAATCTTAGCCAATTAAAAGACAATTGGCACTAGAAAGATGAGAATGAAAACTTTCAAATATTGATAGGAATATCTAATCTTACAAGTTCACACCCTAATTACAAACTCTTCTGTTCTGCAAGGTTTATTTAGAGTGATGTAGAACACAGAGGAAACAGCTGAAGGCTGTTTTGAAATTTGGGATAAGATGTTTTGTATTATAGTTCTCCCACCAAATGAACAATTACATGACACCATCTCATGACACCAGACACAAATCTACCACTGTCCAAAGCCTATATGTTAGGTTTAAGTCTGACCAAAAAATTTAACCATAATCTAATATATTTTGTTCTATTTGAAGCCAAAGTTTTCTGATTCTTTTTCATCGAATTGTTTGATTTTGGTGACAAAACAACTAATCAACCTACCCATTTGTGTTACAGAAGTAATCTACATTTGTTGTAGAAAAATTACAAAACATAGCATAGGAAAAAGTAAAGAAAAAGTGTTTCTAATTTCATAATAGGAGACTATTGAAAGTGACATATGGTGGTTCCTGTCACATTTATTAAACCTATGAATGTTACAGTATGTATTTAATTATGCATAAAAATCTTTTTACATCCATGTACATATCATGGCTATAGTTCACAAAAATATAACACCACATCTGGTATTTTATGATCTTAGATTAAAATAAGAAAAGCTAATCAATTTCTCTTCAGCAATATGAGGACAGAAGCCATGTCTATTTTGTTCATTGATGAATTCCCAGCAACTACCACTCAAATAATATTTGCATTCAACTAAGATTCATTATGTGAACAAAAATTCGGTTCTATGTTTGTGAGGCATTCCATGTCTGGAAGTAACGTAAGAAAGGCTAATGCATGTTATAAATACTGTCATATGAAGGAGAACTAGGTAGATTTGGAGTGTCTGTCGTCTGATTTGAGTCATTTTTTTTCTTTCATAGGTCCATTGTGGCTTCCTGGAGACCATCTGGGCCTCTATGTTTGATAATCGTTGTTTCTCTTGGTGTAATGGCAATTTTAGGAGTGACTATTGGTCTTCTTGTTCATTTTTTGGTAGTTGGTTAGTATTGACTTTTCATTGTGAACGCATGCTACTTATATGGCTTCATTTTTAAAAACTGATAAACATAAATTTAAAAATTCTTTGGGAAGTTTTCTCATTTGTTTAGTATATTATTTCAACATCATAAAGAAAGGCCTGCTGCCTCCTCCTCTCTTATTTTTTCCCCCTTGTAGTAATTTATTGCATGATAACTAATCACTTTCTTATATTTTTAAATGCGTGTTATTTTTCCTATCCTTTTTTATTATTTTAATGCTGGTCCTATGAGATTAGAACATCACCTTTATAACTGTATTTAACCCTAATTTCCAAAGATTTGCAAGAGTCTCAGCTTTTTACCTCACTGAATATTTTAATGCAACTGTTATAAATTTGAGAGCTTTGTGTCTCCATTACCTCTCCTCTTTACACCACTTGGTAGAGATGTAGAGTAAGGTAAAAAGATAATGAGTAAGAGGTGAATCAACACACGAACCAGTCTGCATGGTTAATATTGGACATAACTGGGTTAGAAATATTGGCATTCATGTCCTAAGATTAGAATTAGCACCTTGATAACATCATATTCATTTATGGTCTTTTATACTTTCAGAAATCAGCAAGACTAACTTTGAAGTGCTCATCAACAATTGTAAGTTGAAAGCTTTATTGTGCATTCTATACATTTACAACTATTTCCATATTTTTTCTAAAAAGGCCCTAAAGAACCTCATATAGAAATTTATAGTACTCTTTCATAAGAGTTGGACATATCAGACAAAAATACAATTTTTTTTGCAAAATATTGGACTATGAATTTTAATGTTCATAAGGATTTGTACAAAAGGGTAAAATGAGAACTGATTGTAAAGAAGGGAATACTAGGTAAAGACCATAGTATGTAAATAAGTTACAATAAAAAGACAATATATCCTCCCAGGACAAAAAGAAAACACAAGCTAAACATTTATTACAGATAAAAAAGTTCTATATTTTAAAAATTATTTATTTTTAAAGTATCATGCTGCCCACAAGATAGTCATTAAATCTGAATTAGATACGTACCGAGTATCGAATGTCCACATGGCGTCTGCAAACAGCATTGCATACACTATGCGACACGTAGCCTTTCCTGAAGCTGTCTGCACTTTCAAGAATTTGTAAAATTCCTGGGAGAGAGGACTACTTTAAAATTTAATAAATAAGTACAAGGAAAGGCAGCAGTTAAAAGATTCTTCAGACTGGAAAAGAAAATAAATCAGTCTCCCAACCAAGAAAAATGAGAACGGGTCCTGTGAAAACAGTATTTCGCAGGAAGGCAAAAGAAAAATAAGCTGAATTACCACTGAAGTGTTTCAAGCAATGGTTAAGGTGATGTTTCTTGTAAAGCATCATCAAAGATACCTGCTCTTGTAAACCCTTTTCCCTAGGCTGTGGGAGACAACTGGTCAACAGTGTCACAGCTGGCAACCTGATTGTTCATGGGGAAAGTGCTCTGGCAGGGGCATGGCCATGGCAGGCCAGCCTCCAGGGGGGTGGTCAGCACAGCTGTGGGCAGCCCTGATCAGCAGCAGGTGGCTCTTATCTGCAGCTCACTGTTTTGTTCGGTAAGTTCAAAAGTTTTGACTAAGTGTAGGATGCTGGGTTCAGACCTATTTTGGGTAGCCCATAGGATTAGCCTAAATGTGTGAAAGATCACTAAAATTGTATGAAATCTGCGAACATATACAAAACTTATTTTTACTGGCATAATTGAAGGACAAGGAAAGAATTTAAATTTTTGAAAGGATGGGAAATTGAACAGAAGTAATTAACATTGATCATATAGCTACTTGGGCCTGGCCTTCGGGGTTTGCTCATATCACTGCGTCTACTCGTGACAATAATGGCATAATTTAATGAGTTTATTCATTTGTTACTAGTGCATATCTGCAATACACAATGCTTACATTTCCTGTGTGGGATGGTACGTGGACATAACACATCTAAATTATAGTTTTAATTCTCTTTCCCCACTCTTCCTACCCACTCCATCCATCTCTTGATCCCCTTCCCATTTGAGAATGATCTGTTTTTCTATTTCCTATTGCCTAGCTTTCATTTTGCTTTGTACTTGTAATTTGGGTTCATATATATATAATTGTGTATCTCATTTACTTCATTTAATAATATAGCTTCAAGGTATGTCCATTTTCATTCGAATGACTGAAATACATCTTTTGTTATGGCAAGTGCAGTACACCACTGTGTGTAAATACCACGTTTTCTTTTTCCATTCATCTATTAGTACAGATAGAAGCTGCTTCCAAGATTCAGTTACCAAGAATTGCTATAAATATGGATGCAAGTATCAATATAAGACAATGGCGTTTTAACTCTTTCAGGAAAATACTTAGAAGGGGAATAATGGGGTCAAATGGAAGTTTTAATTTTAGTTTTTTTGGAAATCTCTGTACTGATGTCTATAGTGACAGTAAGAGTTTGCATTCTTAACAGCAACATAGAAAAGTTTATTTTTCCCTGTAGCCCCACCAGAATTTGTTATTTTATTTCTTCATGGTGGTCATTCTTTTTGGGGTAAGATGGAATCAAAGTGTTACTTTAATTGGCAATTCTCTAATGATCAGAAATGTTAAGAATTTCTCCACAAATTTATTGGCTATTTGTGCTTCTTCTGTGAAAGTGTCTATTTATTTCACTTGCCCAATTTTGATTGGATGTTTTTGTTTACTTGGTTCAATATTTTATCACTTATATCATCTGTGAGCTGTCAAATGCCTTGTTAATCTGTTGTTATCTTCCCTGATGTCATGTCCAATAATCTGGGTGATTCCCTCTCCTTTCATATGCCTTTGTTCACCTTTGAAGGAGTTGGGAGTTTTTGGAGACATTTTGTGGGCTTGCCTTCTCATGTTTCTATTTTTTGTTTGTTCGTTTTTATGCTGAGGCTTGGAAAATGATTGCAGTGAAAAGCTTGTTTCAATTATGGAGAACTTTATAATTGCTGTGTACTAGCCAGTGGTGTCCTCTGAGCATGGCTAACTATTTATTGGCCTTTTCCTGTGTTCTAGAATTCAACTACCTCAGTTAATTTGGGATGGGAGTTGAGGTATATTAAACTCAGTACCCAGTTCTCCAGGAATGGACCATAGTATGTTAGTGACTCACAAAGCAATCCAGATATCAGCATTCCAAGAGAACCAATTAATAACAACAGTTATGTCACTTGGGTCTAGTAAAAAAAGTCAGTATCAATAATAGCTTCAAATACAACCTGACTGTTAACAAGTGTGACTGACCACACTTTACCATAGAAAAAAGATCTATAATTATAATGTTACAGTATATATGAATACTGAAATAAACCAAATATCAATGTGCTACTGACCTAAAGTAAATATCTATTAAACAAAATAATTTTACAATGTGAAATAGGAAGAAAAGGGCTAAAGATGTAGGGGAAGTGGGAAGGGTAGGGGAAGGGGAATAAGGGAAAAGAAAAAAACCATGAGAAAGCGAAAAAATGGAAATAAAGTGTTTGTAAATAGGGAAGGGTGGAGGGGGTGAAGAAAGGCAGGGATAAAGGGAAAAAATGAGAATCAAGACCTGTCATGTAAAGGTACAAGATCCCAATGATGAATGTAACTGTACTGTGTACCTAAAATGCACCAATAAACTCAATGAGAAAAAATAAAAAATAAAAGAAACAAACAAAAAAATAATTTTACCTCTGCTAACATTAGAACACAATAAACTCTGAGAAAAAATAAAAAATAAAAGAAACAAACAAAAAAATAATTTTACCTCTGCTAACATTAGAACAGTATTCAATATTAATAGTATAATGTTCACTAGGCATATTGAGAGTCAAACTTTGTAGTTATACTAGTAAAGCTAGAAGGGGGAAACTGATCAATTAAATAAAGCAAAATTTGAGAAATTAATCAATGGTGTATAAAGAAACAGAGAAAAGTGAGATGGGCGTCCTATTGAGAAGTAAAAGGAAATTAATAGTGTTAGAAATCAGTCACAGCAATGAATAAAGAAAAAGAAAAAATATAGCAAAACACATGAAATTTAAAAAAGATAAAAAGGAGAAAAAATTGAAATGGGAGACAGAAAATAAACTAAGGGAGGGGGAAAAAAATTCAATCCCCCAAAAAAACCTGATGAAGGAAAGAGAAAGATAATAAAAAATAGAAAACACAAAAGAAGTGAGTCAAAGTAAAAAAATCCTGTGTTTTTGAATGAGTAGTTTCTTTCAAAGATCTTCAGTCTTGGAATGCAGTCACAATTTTCTCTACTTGCTGTAGGACCTGTGAGTTTTTGAGGTACTGTCCCCACAGCACGGCTACTCTGTCCTCCTAGACTGTGGCCACTGTCCCCCAAGGCATGTCCTTTGTCCCCTTGGTACATGGAGGAGGCCATCAGTGCTCTGCTCTCTGACAGATGTAGGACCCTGAGGCAGGGGCTCAGTGGCTATTAAACTTCACGTCAGTGGTCACAGGGTTTGTTGTTCCCTTCTCTTCCCGGGATTGTCTTCATCCAGGATCATGTAGTTTGAATAATGCTCACCTCTGCTGCCCCATGCTAAGGGGGCACAAATTTAGAGCCATACAGGAGCTGGCACATGATGTTGCCCTTGCATTGTGGCCGGGGTCAGGGGAGCCTCTTGATCAATCTTGCTTGCTTGTGTCAGGAAAAGGGCATTGTGAGTCTGGAGGGGATTGCCATGGGTCCAGTGCAGGCCTGCCTGCCCACATTGCAGAAGAGACAAAAGCTAATTTAATCAATGCAAAGATGAAGAAACTATGACAGAAAAGGTGATGTTCTTTCCTTGGCTGATGTCATATAGCCCTTAAATAACAGAACTCAAATGCGAATTCAGGTATGTTTGATTTTTGTTACGAAGTGCTTTTATATCTCACATAGAGATTGTAATGTAGTCTAAAAATATAAATGATATTGTTAAAAGTAGAAAGCAGTATAGTGTGGTAAATATCACATATATGACTGATAGTAAATGCCATAGATATTTGAAGAAAGAAGGCATGCTGTGATGTGAAGATGTAGGATTTGACCTGGATCCTAAAAATATAGTGTTTGATTGATAAGATGGATAGATGAGAAAGAATAACATGCATTTATAGTTGGGAAAAAGCCTCCTTTAATAGATGGAGATGGAGCAACATGAGTTGTATTCCTCACACAATGAAGAGCAGCTTGCTGTAGACGAGATTTTGCAAAAGAGAATGTTATACAATATATTTAGACAATTTAATTATATCAGTTTTCAACAGCTCTAAATTACAAAAAACTTACAGAGGTATATTTTACAAAGTAAATTAATAGAATTTGTCATCACGAGTGATTTTAAAAATCATTTATCAGCCACCTTAGAAATCAAGATTGTTAAACAATTGTTATTGGTTGCTTTCTTAATAAAAGCCCTTCTTTCTGGGGTGAGGTAAGATCTCAGTGTTGTTTTCATCTGCATCTCTGGAATGACCAGGAACTGGAGACATTTATAGCTAAGTGGATGCACATTGGAGACAAGCTCTTAAGTGAAATTAATAGGACACACTTGTGTAAAAACCATACAGTTTCTCTGGTGTGATAAACTAAAAGTGTGAATAAGGATCAAACTGTATCATTGATATTGTGTAATAGGAAGAAAAAGTCTAAAGGTGGGAATTGGGAGGGGTAGGGGAAAGGTAAGGAGAGAAAAGAAAAAATAAGAGAAGAGGAAAAAATAGAAACAAAGTCTGTGTACAGGGGAGGCAGGGAAAGGGAGGGCAGGGGAATGGGGAAAAATAAGAACCAAGACATGTCATGTAAAGGTGCAAGATTTCAATGATGAATGTAACTGTGCTGTATAACTAAAATGTACCAATTAAAAAAAAAGATTGTTATACGACTACCTCACTAGGGTTTTAAAATATAAATTTCTGCATGTGGATCCTGAGTTGATTTTAAGGAGATGAAGTTACAAAAACACTGCTTTGAGCATGTGCAGTTTTGAGAATTGGAGACAGAACATGAAGATCTTGAAACTTAAAAGAAAAAAGAAATCACCTGACCATATATGGAACAAGTGAGAATAATTATAAATAGGCTGTTAAGTCCTAACTGAGTCTCAGTGAGGAACTTGAAGCACTGGTCATGGAATCTAAATTTGAAAAGAAGAGGTACTGGCTGGGTAAATGTAAAACAATGATTGGTTGAGAAATAGCTACAGTATTTTTATGTCCACAGGTGCTCAGTGCCTGACATAGGCTCTCGGAACTCAGGGTGTAGAGCAGTGAGATTAATACTGGACCCCATCCACTTATGGAACCGAGGATGCTCGTACAATGCTCTCCTAGGTCAAATGCTCAGAACACGAAAGGAGCTGATTTATCACAGAAAATACTAGAGACTTCCTTGGGACCTTGTACAGAATGCTGACAGGGTTAGCACTGTTTTCATGGGCTGCAAAGTTTATAACTTCTCCATGTCAGAGACATTTTTTTTTCAACTGTCAAGTTCAGAGACATTTTTATAAATGAGGATTTAAGTACTTAAAATGTTGTCTGGGAACTGAATGTCTTTAAAATAAATTTCCTATTCTCTAGGAAAAATAATTCAAAATACTGGACTGTCAACTTTGGAACTACAGTGAATCAACAATATATGACATGAAAAGTCCAAAACATTATTCTCCATGAAAATTATATAACTAGTTATTATCAAAATGATATTGCTCTTGTGCAACTGTCTAAAGAAGCTTCTTTTACAAAGTACATTCATAAGATTTGCCTTCCAGAAGCCAAAATGAAGCTTTCAAATAATGACAGCGTTGTAGTTACAGGATGGGGAGCACTTTATACAAACGGTAAGGTCCTTTTCAAAGTGTGATAGCTTCATGGGAATAACTATTTAACCAACCCACCAATCACTCATTTATGCAATTAATTAACTGGCAAGAATATTGAACAGAAAACCAAGGCAAGATACAAAGCATGGCATCTTATTGTCTTCAACCTCTAAAAACTAAACTTTTTGGTCATGCAAATTGGCAATATTGAAATTATATGTGAAACAACCAATTATAAATCTGAAAGAGACTCCTGTAGTCTAGGACTATCACGGTTCTTGGTGACTTAAAGGAATCTGCTTTTGTGCTATATAAGTGCTCTTTATTCTAACAAGGCTAAGATCCCTATAATAAATAGCAATTATTATCTTTAGGTACACTTCCAGTTGTACTTCAAGAAGCTTTTTTGAAGACTATTGACAACAAAATTTGCAATGCCCCACTTGCATTATCTGGCGCGGTGAGTGATGAAATGCTATGTGCTGGATACATGTCAGGAGAAGCTGATTCCTGCCAGGTACATCGAGCTACATTACCCAACCACTTTCTACCCAGATGCCAAGTAAATGTAAGATTTTATCAGCAAAGTATTTCATATGTTGATTGTCCCATAGTAGCTTTTATTTATTCTCTTTCTGATTTCATTTGTGTGTCAGACTCCAGACTAGATGCAGAGAATAAAGCAGTGAACACAATTCCTAACTTCATGCTTTTCAGTGCAAATTATAAAATCAATTTGGTCTGATTTTCTACAGAAATCAGAAAAAAAAAGAGCAACTTGTGGACCTAGAACATTGACTCTTCCCTCTCTGGAGATTTTCAGGGAGGGAAGTGTGGTCTCCTTAGGGGCTTCATCATAGACACTGCACAGAAACCAACTTACTTTCTCCTCGTTTGAGGCTGGGTTCTGTCTAAAGTCAAGTTTTGGTCTACCTAATCCAACATTTGTTAACTGTGGGTAAGATTTTATGGTGTGTAGCTTCTCTGAATTTTGCATAAACCTGAATTCCAGAATTCTAAGCCCAAACATGTCCAGAGCAACCTACATAGTTTTGGGGGAAATCATTTCACAATTAAATTATGATTAGGCCTAGTTTTCCTGCCCAAGGCCAGCTATGGTGTATCAAGACATAGCTCCATTTTTGCCTCTGGTCACAGCTGAGGCCTCAGTGGTCCTGTAATGCTGTGATTCTCAAGGGTAGGATTACATCACCTAAAGACATCCTGGTTCCTCAAGAACCAAGTAATAAGAAAGGTTTCACCTGGAGAGAGACAAATTCCTTACCAATTTAACTCCTCCCACCTACTATTATAAGAATGCTTTCGTTACAGTCCTCCTCAACATAAGAACCTCATGACCTAAGATCTTCATCAGTATGAGATCTGCACTGACATAGGATTATCACGCTTCCAAGTCATCTGATGCTCCCTCCAATTATTGTGTGGACCCAGTAAATAGTGGCCAGCTCAGAATCTTTGTCTTTGCCCGCTCTGAGACACTGTTCTCCAGCCCCCAATATACTTATAAATTATTCAAGTTTCTATGGTCCTTTTTCCCCCCTTACCATTCCCTTTCTTAGGAAGTCGGAGGATTAATTGGCCTCCGATACAAACAGGGTGAAGTGATTTTAGTACCTAGGGGCTACTGATAGCTACAGAGGAGAAATAAAAGGAAAATTTTCAATATGACAAGAAATAAGCTTCCTTTCTTTTTCTAGAATGATTCTGGTGGACCACTAGCTTATCCCGACTCCAGAAATATCTGGCACCTTGTTGGAATCATAAGCTGGGGTCAAGGATGTGCTAAAAAGAATAAGCCAGGTGTCTATACACGAAAAACTTCTTATCACAACTGGATCACCTCCAAGACTGGACTCTGAAGGAAAAGTAACTGTGAGATGGAACATAATGTCAACTTTGGGATCACCTTGTCTATCACTTCAAGATCTTTTTCTTTTAATTAATAGTAGAGGAGTAGCTTGGGTCATTTTTTAAATATATCAAAATACAAATATCTTTCTCAATGTATACTTGTACCTAAAACATCTTCATTTACTTACTTTTTTTGAATTGTTTCTTTTATGAAAAAATAAAATTATTTACCTATTTAACAAATATAGAAGACAGGAAAAAAAGTGGCCAAAATAATGCTAATAATGCTGTAATTCTGATTTATCTTACCAATACATCAGAAGAGATCTTAATATATATCTAATAATTAAGATAAAATACATAGTTTCTAATTATGAGACAATTTTGTTGTATTTACAAAATAAATTGCTTGTATTTTATAAATTATAATTGCATTTTATTAAACTGGAATGTTAAGACAAATAATATACATTTATGTTTCAATTTATATGTGAGGTGGCTTGTGTGCCTCATAAACCTTATGATTTTGGACCAAAAAAGGGCCATGAGAGGTTCATCTGGACCATGTCTCTCATTTACAGGTCAAGAAATTGAAGACCAGAGGAAAAAAAATATTTTCTTCAGTCATTATTTATCCTGTGTGATGAATAAAATTTCCCTCATTGATTTTAGAGTCAAAATTTGTGAGGAATTAAGGAATGATTCTCAAATTGCAACTATTTCTGTAACTGTTTCTTTAAATCCTTTTGTCGTCTGTCTTCCCTTTCAGCAAAACAAGTGTGAAATCCTCAAGAACAGGGAACTGTGAACATCTAAGTTAGTAGCTTATTTTATTTTTATTTTTATTTATTTATTTATTTTTTTGAGACAGGGTCTCACTATGTAGTTGAGACTGAACTGGAACTCACTATGTAGCCCAGGCTGGTCTCGAACTCACAGTGATTCTTCTGCCTAAACCTCCCGAGTGCTGGGATTACAGGCGTGCACTACCACACCCGGCAGTTAGTAGCTTATTTTAGAGTTGACTTTGAACTTTCTACAAATAACTTCTCCTGGGGCTGGGGATTTAGCTCAGTGTTGCTGCTGCCTGCCTCTCAAGCACAAGGTCCAGTGTTTGATCCCCCATCCCCAGTGCCACAAAACAAACAAACAAAAACAAGAATTAAAACTTATCCTTTGTAATTAATTCCCTGAAATAAAAAAGGAGCCAAAACATTTAAAGGCAGGTAAAATAAACTAAAAAATGCTTCTTCATTCGGTTGCTGTATCTTGGTTGGTTGTATCTTGGTTTTTATTTTTTCACCCACCCTTCACACCCTCATCCCTTCCTATTTACAAAGACTTTGTTTCCATTTTTCCCTTTTCTTATATTTTTCTCTCCCTTCTTTCTTTTCCCCTACCCCTCACACTTCCTCTTCCCCTTTAGAACTTTCCTTCCTATTTCACATTATCAATCATACATTTTGATCTTTCTTTTTACACTTGTAGTTTCTTACACCAGAGAAACTATTGGGTATTTACATGTGTGTGTTCTATTTATTTCACATAAGAGTGTGGCCTCAGCAGCAGTATACCACAGCTGCCTTGTGCCAAGGAATAAGACTCAGATGTTACAAACTTTAGAAATTATATGAGCTGGTTGCGAAACACTGCCATAGTTGAAAATTAAATGTATAAAATAATCATTATTTTAATACATTTTAATTTTATTTTATACAGTTTGTCACTAAGTTTTTAGTTACTTGCATCTATTCCATCTGTGGGATGTAATTATGTACCGTGGCACTACAGCTCATCCCTTGGCAAATTCATAGTTAGTGAGGTCCACATGAGTGTCTAGAAATTTAGGAAGTATTTACATTTACAACATGGAAATTGGCAAATGCTCAAAATTAGCTCCTGCGTTCTGTCTCCATACATTGGTTGTTAAACCCTTATACTGCATCAATGAATATAAATATTTCTCATTTATTCTTTTAAGAGAAATCTTTCCTAGATAATACAACTAGAGCACAATTTTTCTTATGATGTTATAAGCTACCTTTTGGCTATTGTGCCAGATATGTTGTTAAATTCATTTCTCATAATTTTAATGCAACAAGAAATTTCACATGATTCTGTTTTGAAATATTTCATAATGATGTGTCAAGGACATTTCACATTTTCAATTTAAGCTGGTTAAGTATTGCCAACAAATTGCATGTTATGATATGTTGTTTATTATTGCTTAATTGTAAAATTTAAAAAAATTATCATACTTTCTTATGTTTCCACTTTAAAAGGTCTCTTAAAACTTGTCACAGTAGGCATTCATAACCAAGTAATCAGGGGCTGGGTGTTTAGCTCAGCAGTTTGATGGCCTGCCTTGTAAGCTCAAGGACCCGAGTTCGATCCCCGGTACCAAAAAAAAAAAAAAAAAAAAAAAAACCCACATAACTGAGTAATCAAAACAGAATTCCAGTAGACAACATTTAATGTTTTATAAATTTAGGATTATCCTCTTTAATTCAGACTTATCTACCAAAAATAAGATTCAGTGAGACAGAAATCATTAGTCAGAGTAACAAGAGATCGTTTTCATGTTATCCTTCTCAGCAGTTTGGTAAAAGAGAAAGGACCAAAAAGAATCAAGACAAGCAATGATCAGAATAGGAAAAATAATGGCCAGAAACATACTATTCTGGGTCTTTGTAAATGGTACACTGTCTGGGGTGCCCTCTTCTGAATTTTTTTTTTTTCCTGATGAACTGTGTTTTGAAAGTTCACACTTTTGTAAGGCTTTTTGTCCACTATATTCTCATTTATTTGTTTCTATTGTAATTCAGGCAATATCTCACCCTAGAATGTTCTACAAAGGCAACAAACACTTTATTTTTAAGCAATATTAATTTGGCCCTGAGTCTCCAAGAATATGTATTTTTATTCAATTCTAGCTTTTCTATATTCAAATTCATGTAGAAGATAAGCTTTTAGTCCAATAGGTATATTGACCCTTTTCTAAATTACATAATGAATATGTTAACACATTATCCCTGTAATGAAAATGAACCCATGATAGAGCAGGCTGGTTTCTTTAATTATCACTTTCAGTTCTGATCTGTTTCTTTTTCAGAATAATCTGCATTTTGTGATTCCTTCTAGGTCTTTTCATAAATAAGTACATGACTTTAAATATGTTAGCACTCATTTTAAAAGCGCAGTGTAAGTCATTGCTTTACATTTAATGGTGCCATGCTGAGTCATCGTTCTGCATCTCACATTTACTCAGTAATTTTCCTTGAAATCTTTCTATATAGAGACATCCACAAGCAGCAGGCTGGTTCACAGCAAGGCATGTCAAGCAGAAAGAAATTTGAAAACAACTAAGAAACCGTAGAAAGGGCTAGAGGTGTCACCCATAATGTAGCCTGGTCCCTGCTTACTCCCAGTTGTTTCTCAGCCCCAGGAAGCCAGAGGATAGACAGTGGCTACCACGCAGGGGCACCATGTCTTATTGATCCATTATTAGCAAATCCAAAAGCAGCCTCATTTTTGTCTGGGAAGGCCTGTGACTTCCTTCTCCTTTCTAAATTTCATCTAACCAGAAAAAATGTAGCCTGTACCCAGAACCCCCAACTGCAAGGAACTGTGGAGATGCAGTGTGTAGCTATTCACACTGCATGTGTGAAGGGGACTAAGAATGAGGATTAGTGAGTCAGCTTACTCACTATATCTACCATAACCTTTTTCCTTTTAGCATTTGCATGATACTCCATACATTGGTCTACCAAAGTTTAACAATTCTCATAATTAAGAATTTGTTTCCATGTTTTGCTATCACAAATTGTATAATAAATATCATAGTATATTCCCATTGGAGTACATGTGCTAGGATAGCTACTTAGACATGAAGCTACTTTATTAAAAGGTAAATAGTTTTCCATGTAAATTTATTTATCTATTTTAATTTTGGGGGGTGGTGGTACCAGGCATTGAACTCAGGACCTTGTGCTTGCAGGGAAGGCGGCAGCACCCTTTAGCTAAATCCCCAGCTCCTTAAGGTAAATAATTTTAAAAGTAACCACCGCCAAGCTACCCTCTAAAATTGTTATCTCAATTCTAACTCCAGCCATCAATGTACGAATGTCCATTTCTCCACATTACCACCAAATCTTGAAATCGTAAATATTTTTCACTTCTAAAACATTTTAGTAAAGCTTTATGATTGTTTTACTCTATTTTAATAATTACTACTAATAAGATGAATCACCTTTTATATGTTAACTGGCCATCTGCATTTCTTCTATAAATACCCTGTTGAAACCTTATATATCCTTAATGAGTTTTTAAAATATTTTACTCAATTGTAGAATGCATCTACTGTACTTTGGACACTAGTCATATATCTGAAACATATCTTATTTACTTAGTACCATCTGTATACGAAGCCCTGTGATGAGCACATCAAAACCAAAAATATAGTATTGTTCTTGCCTTCAAATGCAAGAAGGTGCTTGTGCTGGGTGAGAGGACATCTCATCCACAGGACAGCTTTAAACAGGAATTACAATCACAGCAGATGACTAAAACCTGAATGAGTGCAGATGGTAGTAAATGATTAGAGCACAGAGAGAGAGAGAGAGAGAGAGAGAGAGAGAGAGATCAAAGCCGGTAAAGCTTTTTATTTTGGGATTTTTTGGGGGGCGGTTTGAGACAGGGTTTCACTGTGTCATTGAGACTGCTCTGGAACTCACTATGTAGCCCACACTGGTGTCAAACTCACAGCGATCCTCCTGCCTCAGCCTCCCGAGTGCTGGAAAGCTGGTAAAGCTTTACAAGGAAGTCTTCATGAACAAATTAGCAGCTGGCTGTGATTATGAAGGATGAATCAACACCAGAGGATAGAAAGGAAGATTGTAAGGATGTTGGTGTTAGAGAACAGGAATAAAGTTATAAAGGTAAGAAGCACTTGCTACTCAAGAAAGGGAATCAATAGAAATCTCTCAAGTCCTCAAGCTTTAGGTAAAAT